CTATGACTTTCAAACTATTTAGATGTTTTTCCCCCACAAATGAAGTAACCTACAGATTCTTTGTTTCATAAAGAAAAATATATCTGGTGAGACAGAAAACAGTACTGGAAGATAGTCATGCAGCGTGTACTCAAATCACTTCTAAAACCTTCTGTTCCTTTTAAACAACTAAAATTCTGCCTTGAAATAAGGACAAAGCTCTGACTAGTCCACCGTATTTTTAAAATATGTCATTTCATCATAAGCATGAACAAGAAATCACCACCAGGAAGGGCTCTTTCCAGCCACCACCACATCCTACTTTTCCTCCTCTTTTCTTAAAAATAAAACCACCTTATGTTAAGACAGCAATGTTGAGTATGTTAAGGTAATAGTGACATCAGTGACTTTCCCACAATTTGTGATCCCCAATTCAAATCATGTAAAAGAAAGTTGAAGATCCCCCTTGACAAATAAGAGCTAGTGGGGTAAACATACAGTTAATTATTATTTGAAAGAAAAATGCTCTAAAGCAAAACACAGTCCTTGTGATTTCTAACTTTTTTTCACAAGTGCTTAAAATAATTAATCTGACCCTATACAATATTCTACTTAGATTGTATTTATGTAGTGGTTACATGTTTTTAGAATTATTTTTAATGACAGAAGTAATGCATGAATACATGTATCTACAAATGAGCCAACATTCCATTTCACTACCATCTCAAAAGGGTTCCTTAGATACTACCTTTGTTAGGTTCTTGTTGTGAATTATTCTGGATTTAAAAAAATCCCTCTATGTCTATGTATCCATATAAAATCTATTGTATGGTTTAGCAGGTTTGTACTGACAAAGACTCATTGTTGGCCTAGAATGTATGCACAAATATCTACTGTGAATCTTTCTGTCCCCTCCGGAGATACAGCAGTAAATTGACTGATAAAAATCATTTCTGATGGAGCTTACATGCTAGTACAAGAGAGACAATCAACAATTTTACAGAAGAGGTGCAATCTAAAGAATATGAATAAAGAAAAGAAAAGGGAGAGAATGCTAAAGGGACTTGGGGGAGTAGAAATTGAAAATATGGTCGAGAGCAAAGTCTGGTATATTGCAAACTGGATGTATTTACCAAAACAGTTTAATAGGACTGTTCCCAAACTGCCTTTGCTCAAGTAGTGATTTGGAACCAATATTACCCTGACTCACTACCCACGAATCCTCTCTTGACCCTGGAATTTCCTGTGGACAGACTGAGGAGCATCTAGGTCTCAGCTCTCAGGACTAGAATTGAGAGTAAACACTGTATGAAGTCAAACACTTCTTCACTGGATTCCACTTCTTCTTCTTTTCCATCTTCCTTTCCTTTTCTTTCTCTCCCCTTTCTCATTTTCTTTCCAAGATGCAGTTAGGAACGAGAGTCCAAAAGTGCTGTGCTATTTAAGGGTCATTTGGCTGACAGTTTGGGTAAGAAAGATTCCGATCAGAATTGGCCTGCAACCGGGAAGCAGCCTGCTTTTTCCCCTTCATCTACCGGGTGAGTTAGAAACATTAAAAAAAAGACACTAACTACAAGAAGCAATCTGCTCGGGCTGATAAAGGAATATGTAAGTGTCTTTGATCAAAGCTCAAACTGTGAGGCATGGTCTATGTCTTTCAAGTTCTGTAACCTGAATAAAAGGACATTAGATGGTTACATTAAAAGATATAGATCGAAGTAAATGCAGTGGAAAGAACAGAGCATGGCAAGACATGGATGCCGGTGTCAGCAAAGTGGCCTTTCCACTGGAACTAAATACTAACTGCACCTAATATTTTGATCAGTATGCCGATTTCTAAGACTCTATTTCCTCATGTTTAAAATGAGGTCATTACTGTTCATTCTACCTACTTTCCTTTTTCTACATAGAGATGATATTGAGCTTAAATCAAATAATGCAGAAAACTCTGAAGAGTTGGGGTTTTTTCGGTAAGAAAAAAAACACATTCAGTAGATGAGAAAATTTATTATTTATGAAATATTAAAAAGTCCCACAGTAACTCCAAAGCCCCAGCTATGTAAAGAATAAATAAATAGCACACATGGACGGTAAACAACACAACAGCAGTGGAGGTAAATGCCTCTACCTTCATCTGAAACAAGAAAATGCTGGTGTGCACCACCACTCTATGCATTTGTTACAATGTACAAAAGTATAAGAACTACGCACTTGGAGTCCTAGACTGATGATTCAGAGGCTTTGCTGCATGAGCTCTGATGAATGTCAAGGAGAAATGAAGAAATCTCATAAAAATCTTCACGACTCATCATCAGAGCAACAATACAAGAATCATAGTTTTAGTAATGCAAATTGAATTTCTAGCTAATACTCTATACAGGATCTCATAGCAAAAGAGAACTCTGATCTCTTCTGTCTTCTAGAGTTGCTTTTAAAACTAAGGAAAATAATAACTTAACTTATGCTAACCATTCAGAGCCAAAGGATGAACAGTGTCTGTGTCACAGAAACATACACTGTAACTCTTAGCAATTTGGAACTCATGCTACAGATACAATAACCATCCATTAGGACCTACCTCACTATTGCTCCAAACAGCTCCTGTCTATCCCTGTCTGGATTAACCACCCAGAAGAGAGCGATAACAATTCTTGCCACTATCTACACATTTCAAACAATTGCCTTGTTTTTCAAGCTGAGGAAGCTGACTTTCCAGGTCAAAAATAAATAATTTTTAAAATCCTTTTGTTCTCTGACTAGCTTAAAAGTGAAATACGAAAAAGTTTTGTTTCTGTGAAGTCAATGATTTGTCTTCTATGGTAAAGTACCAAAAGGTTACACTTTGGAGAAACCGAAGAAAGCATTCTTAACTATTTAATGTGGAACACAGAAGTAAACATGCTCAATGAATGAATACATTTCTTTTGTTGTTGTTGTTGTGTATTTTTAGGCTTCTTTGGGGAGGTAAAGAGTAAGGGGAAATAAAATAGTGCAATGAAATGGCAGCCTTTTCTTCTTCTTTTTTTTTGTTATTTTGATAAACTTCTTCAAAGTCCCAGTATGTGTTTCAATTTATTATTGTCCTCAGCTGCAATTTTAAGTATCTTAGCAATGCATAAAGAACTGCAGTTTGTCCCCCAGTCTCCTCGCACTCCTGACCCCATATACTACACAGGTGTGTCAGAGAACTGATGGCTGGTCAGGTATTATGGTTACTGCCAGTCACTTCCTTAGGGGAAGAATTATTCCAGATTGCCTCACCTTTTTCCTACATACAACTCAACCTTCTTTCTCAACATTATTATTATTTTTTAATTATTCTTTTCTGTGAGTATTCTTTAAAGGAAAAACTACAAGAATATCTTAGCATTACTTATTCATGAACCTCTACTCTCCAAAACTTACTTAAAAGTTCCAGCAGTGATTCTGCTGAAAAGACTTCAGTTGACCTACAAGCTTGACAAACACACTACCCGTGGCCCCCACATCTTATGTCACTGACTACAGAGTGACTAGCTCGCATCATTCTGTGTTAGTAATTGCTCCTTTTCCTTAATTGTTGGCACGATGTGCATCCATGACTACTCTAGTCTATGTAAGCCCCCTCCTTCAGGAGGCTGTTCCTTAAAGTTCAACTCCATTATTAGTTCAAAATGAAGAAGAAGAAGAAGAAGAACAACAACAACAACAACAACAACTACTACTTGAGAAGGAGGAGGAGGAAGAGGAGGAGAGGAAGAGAAAGAAAGGGGGAGGAGGAGGACAAGAAGGAGAAGGAGGAGAAAGAGGGGGAGGAGGAGGAGGAGGGGGAGGAGGAGGAGGAGAAAGATCTGGGGGGAAGATGATACAGAAAAACACTGGGTGGCACAGACAAATAAATCATTACTCATCGGTGCTAAAATTTCTGCTTCTTAGCTCCTCATCACAGGAAAGAGCGTGCGGTGGCCAGCCCGCAGTCTCTTCCTGCTGGTCTAGATCGGGCCTCTTTCAGGCACAGTCAGCAATTCTGAACCTTCTGTTCATGCCATTTCGGAAGTGAAGACCTTGATGGGGCCTCAGTGATTACCATATATTTTCACTTATAGAAGCTTTCCCTATCACTTGTTGTAAATGAGATTTATAGCTGCGTTTCACTAACTGTCATGTTTTGCCAAAACTATTAGCCACACGCTCTTTGCTGCCTAAGCACCTCCAGTTGTTTTATAGCCAGAAACGCCCACTAATTCCTGGTGCCCTGGACTTAATTCTGTTGCCCACTATTGCTCCAATATGACCTTCTTGACTCTTTACGTTTCAAACTGCCTCTTCCTTACCCGAGGAAGGTGGCGTATTGACCTCGTTTAAGGTATTCAACGAAATCCCCACTGCGGCCCACTGCGTCTGGGGGGCAGTTCCCTTATTACTCTGTCATGGTATTTCCTCCTTCTGGAAATATTCCTCCAGTGGGCCCCTGGGCTCTGCCAACCAAAAGGATCACAGGACATAATTAAATGTTTCCAATTATGAAGACGTTGCCATTAACGAGGTTGAAAGGACAGCAATCTTTTCAGCGTGTGGTAGGTGAGAACCAGGGCAAAGAGAGACAGAGGCAAGGAGCCTAAACAAGACCTGAGCCTGGAAGTCTGGGTCTAAAGAACACTTGTGAGATACCAACCAGGAGCCAATGAAACCCGTGCTGCGTCCTCAGTTTGCTTTCTCTGGCTTCTGCTACCTTTTCGATGCTTCAAAAAGCCCTCCTGACAACGTTCAGCGCTGCGACGTGGACAGGCTGCGTGGGGCCTCGCAGACTCGACAGCCCGGCCCAGCAGCCGTGCCCCCCTGGCCGTGCGTCTGCGGCGTGCTGCTGAGCAGGACATCAGGAAGACTGATGCGTTTCCAGGGAATACACTTCGTGTCTCGCCTTGCCAAACACATCAAAGCAATTTGTTTTTGCCAGCGAGACTCCGGTGGCTCCCCACAATGACTCAGCTCACTTATTTAAAATCCTAAGCTGGTATGTTAGTAGCTTGTAGGTCACTAACCTGCCAGCCTTGTAATTTACACTGCTGGAGAACAAGTCGGCATTTCTCCTCGGTAGACAGTTTCTTCTTCTCGCCGGGGAGTGTCTCCGCGAGGGGCTTATACCTGGGAAAAGCAGGGACATGAGGTGGTGACTGAACTCACCAAGCCAATGATTATAAGCAACAGAGTTGTCTTGTTCCACTGTTTCTTAAACCCCCCCCATTTTACTTTATTCCATGAGTCCCCACATACTCCATCCACTGTGCCTTTAACAGGCAACTATGAAATGATACATCTTTTACATGGAAAATGATTTTTAAATGAATCAAATCTATTTTTTAATCCCTTAACGTATATAACACTATCATGGAGTCATGCAGACCATGTAGCAAACAAAACTTTGGAGAGAAAATTAATCTGTTAGTTTTCACATAAATATTTAGGATGATCTTAAAAATTACAGCTATAAAGAAATTCCAGCCTTCTTTATTCCCATTTGAGAGTGCATCTTGATGTAGTTAGAATCTATAGTAAAGAAATATAAAAACATCCAGAATTGTTATGTAAGTGAGAGGTAGAGAAGCTTTCTCCCCACATACCAGGTAGTTGAGCATTTTAAATCTTCCAGGACATTTTATTTTGTCCTGGAAATGTCCTTTAAATTCTTATCTTTTATTCCCTAGCTGAAATGCATGACAATATCATAGTTTTCTGTGAATTTATAAAAAATATTCCTTTCAAAATTACATCACCCACTTACAAATCGATGTACATATTTTTTTTTTTTGTACTTATGGTATTAATCCTGACATATGAGCAAAACTAACATTAGAAGGTGGAGGAGGAGAAAGAGGAAGAGGAACAGAAAGAGGAGGAGGAGGGAGAGAAGAAAAAAGAGGAGGAGGAAAAGGAGGAGGAGAACTAGAAGGAAGGGGAAGAGGAGGAAGAGGGGAGAGGAGGAAGTGGAGGAGGAGGACACACAGAAGAAACAAGAAAAAATCTGTGTAATTGCACCCACTAAAATTGTGCGTTTATAATTCTCATCTTGGGCTGCTAAGGGAATTCAAATGCTAAAAGTTAAATCACCTACTTTTCTGTTATTTTCTGAAGACTAACTAGCTTAACATTTCATCTAAAGTTTGCTGCAGCAAATTTGGCATCTTCTAAAATCAGTTTTTTAGTCTCCTTAGGGCAACTCAGGAAGGAAGTACATTGCCTACATATATTTCTTTATCACCCTCCCTCTGAGCAAGCACTGCGTGCACTGGGCATGTCCCACTGACAGCCAGCAGATTTACATGCATCTCCTTAGTTCTGCAAGTGCAGCAGAGAAATGAGGTGCACAGCATGAGAGCCAGAACCCCAGGAACCATGGGTCTGGCGCATAGCACAGGCGGCGAAAATACACCTATTTGACTTTTAAGTAGCAGACATTTATTTCCCTTCTTACATCCTTAGCATTGTCCCTGAAAACTTGGTGCAGATGCTCCTCCATTTACGAGGAGGTTATGTTCCAATAAACCAATTGTAAATTGAAAATATCTGAAGTTGAAATGCATTTAATACACCTACCCTAGCAAACACCTTAGCTTAGCCTAGCCTACCTTAAGCATGCTCAGAAAACTTACATTAGCCTGTCGTTCGGCAAAATCTTCTAACACAGAGAACACATTGTAGAGTATATGTGGTTTACTCTCGTGATCACGTGGCGGACTGGGAGCCGAGGCTCACTGCCTCTGCCCAGCATCATGAAAGAGTACAGGGTACATCAATAACCAGGGAAAATATCAAGATTCAGAATCTGAAGTTTGCATGGCACCATCATAAAGTCAAAAAATTTTAAGTCAAAGCATCATAAGTCAGTAACTGACTATATAATTTGCCCTGGATTGACAATTGTCATACTCTTCCTAACCTTGACTCTGAAAAAATAAATACATCAACATCAGCAATAATCCTTCCTCCTCATGAATAGATTTTTTCTCATGTGTCAAATTCAGGGTACAGGAGGAGGTAAAAATAGCAAGTCACAGAGACTGAACGTGAAATTGTAGCACCAAAGGCAAAGATATAAAAATTCTGCTCATCATTTCGATCCCATTGAATGAAATGAAATGATCTGTGGATGACAGAAGTAAACAGTGTTTTGTTTTGTTTTTTAAATAATAGGCAAAAATCTAATTTCCTACCCGGCAGGCACTAAAGTTTTGTTTTTTTTTTGTCTGGCCATTTTGTGATTGCTTCAAGAGAAAGCTATATTTCAAGAGTAGAACCGAGAGCGCAAATGGGTCTAACAGCAGATGTGTATGTGGAGGGCTGTGATGTGCGAGTCGAGTGTGCAGAGGGCAGTGGGGTGGACGCCTGCCCTTTCATGGGCAACCCCAACAGACGCTAGTGAACATTAGTGCATCAGGGAGCGAACACGGGTTTTGTTTCACAACATGGAGTGGTTCGAAGGTGACGAAAGAAATAATTGTATAATGTGTTAGAACAGGAAAGAAACTGGGTTGGGGGTCCAGACACAGTTCCCAGTTCCAACTGCGTAGCGACGTTGCTGCCAGGCCCTGTCAAGCCACTTAGCAAGTCATTCTCCCCTTTCACACTCTGCGCAGGTGTTTCTCAGGATGCGACACACATTCTACATTGTACTACAGACACAAATTCGATTCCTGTTGGTCTTCAATGTGTGTGTGCTTCCCTGGGGCATGTGGTCATCGTTGTCCCCTCCCTGGTGTCTGCTAGGCTGCTTTAGTGTGGGGCACGCAGAAACAAAGGACAGGACACTGAAGGAGGTCAAGAGGCTTTTCCTATGTTACTTCACATACCCCTCACAGCTGGAGGTGTGTGCGATAAACTCTCTGATAGTGGGACAGCTGATGACCACAGACATCAAGTCAGTTGTCAAGTTCACACAGAGAGTGTATGGGTTGACTTGTGCCCCACCCCCTCCAAAAGACATGTGAATGTGACCTTCTGTGGAATGTGTTTTGTTTTGTTGCAGATGTAATCAAGTTCAGATGAGGTCATTAAGCATGGGCCCTCATCCAGCATGACTATGTACTTACAAGAAGAGGAAAATGACACACGATGACAGAGGCAGTGTTTGGAGTTATGCAGCTGCAAGGCAAGGGCAGCGCGGACTTTAGGCCACACCAGAAGGTCAAGAAGACAGGAAGGGTTTACCCAGCGTCTCAGAGGGGCATATGGCCCTGCTGACATGTCGATTTTAGACGTCCAGCCTTTAGAACCACGAGAGAATACGTTTCTATTCCTTTAAGCTACCTAGTTAGTGGGAGTGTGTTAGGGCAGCCCTAGGACACTTTTACAGAGGGTCAAAGTGGCTGGAATTTAAACGCAGGGCAACCTCACCAGAGGCAACCCTTCCATCCTCGTGCTACAGTCTAGGCAGAAACTGCCAAGCCCTCAGCACCAGGTGGTTCTGGAAATGAAAAGGAAGAGACAGCATGAAAATCTGAAAGGTAAAACCCAACAGGAATCATTAGTACATGGGACAGCCAGCCCTAAGTTGCTGTTCTCTGACCTTTGAGTGACTGGGCCTCTGTAACAGTAAACCTGAACGCAAGTGAAATACAGGCTCAGTGGACTCTCGGATACCAGGGCGTGTCTACCACTTAGTCAGTTACACAGTGCAACGGAACCACTCAGCTTACCTTTTCATTCTCCTGTAACTGTCTCATTCTGGAGCTTTGTTAATTATCACCAGGAACTGAATTGGTAAAATTCAAGTATCTGACTACTGTATTAACAAGTCAGAACAGAATTCTTATACTTGGTGCCTTTCTTCTCGTTTTAGATTGTTCTTTCGACACCTAAAATGGTATCATTCTGACATTTCAACTGAAAAGGAAAAATGCCATCTTAGACAGGGTGAGGTACTCTATTTTAGTGTAATTAAAATCACCTTGTCTGTTGGAATGTGCGTTATCATCTGCGGGTGGTGTCATCGGCCCATCACTCTGCTAAACATGGTCTCGCAGAGAATTCCATCTGAGGCCAAATGGTAGTAATGAGCCTGGAGCACAACATGTGTCCTTAGCACAGAAGTGACCAAAGGTAGGACTTCTAAACTCTCATTCCCCACACCCTCCAGGCCTCTTTGCCCAAGACGAAAACACCACAATCCACCGAAGGCCTGTGTCCAGGGTGACATCAGCACTGCGTCCAGGGTGAATCACCTGACCGTGCGAAATAAATGTCACCCCTTCCAGCAAACCCATCCTTGCCTCAGCCTGTCTTAGGATAAGAGAAATGATTGGGATCTGGTTCCATGTCTAGAATTGGGTCCTGTGGCTCATTGGGGCTCATTCAATCAACCAACCAATACTGACTGAGCACAAAATATGTACTGGGAATGCAGCCAGGAACAGAGCAGATGAAAATCCTTACATTCTCTGATGGAAACAGAGAAAATAGAAACGTAAATGAGAAAAAAATGTCAGATACAATGAGAGAGAGGAGGAAAAATAAAGCAGGGAAGGTTTCACTGTGAGCGAATATCTGAAGGCTAAGAAGGAGGCATTGGTGCTCTCTGGGGAGGAGCCGAGTGAGGGGGCAGCTGGCCAGAAGCCTGAGTGCGGCGGTGCTGCCGGTTTGAGGAAGGAGGAATGTCAAGGAGGTGGGTATGGCTGGGGCAGAGCAGGGGGAGGAGGGGGAGAAAAAGGATTCACAAAGGTAACCACAATGGGTAAAGATCTGGATCATGCCCGTGACTCTAAGGACTTTAGCTTTGACTCTAGTTAGAGGCCTGGGGCCTGTGGTTTGAGGAGACAAGTCATATCACTTGACATTAAAACAATCACTGAGGCCTGGCCGGTGTGGCTCAGTGGTTGAGCTTCAACCCATGCACTAAGAGGTCACCTGTTCAATCCCCGGCCAAGGTACAGGGCCAGGTTGTGGGCCAACTCCCCAGTGAGGGGCATGCAGGAAGCGGTCAATCGATGTTCTCTCTCGTCGATGTTTCTACCTCTCTCTTCCTCTGTCTCTAAAATCCATAAAGAAATTTTTTAAAAAAGAAAGAATCACTGAAGTTCTAGCTTAATAGTGGGCAGCAATGGGGCGACCGGAGAGCCAGGGAGACCATGTGCAGGCTCTTCAGACAGCCC